AAATCTGTTTATAATAATACTCCACCAGCTTCATTTTAAACCTCGGGTCCAATATCGCCGGAATCGCCAATGCCGACCCGCATTTCCCCCAGTATTTGTCAAATTTGCCCTTCATTTTTTCGGCTAGTGAACGGATGAAATCATCTGGGGATTTACAGTAATCGATTAGTTGGATATGAACATCGCAAATCTCCGGGAAGTATATGTTTGCGGTTGGGTAGTTGGATTGTGAAAAGACGAATGTAACCTCGACAAGAAGCTTCATAAGTGAAGTAACGGAAACCACCCAATTCCATTCCTGATCCGATAAAAACATGGTGTAGTTTTGATCGTGTTCTTGGAGTAAATAAAACGCGCTACGGTGTTCAATCGCGGATTCCAGCATAAAATATGTTGAGTTCCATCGTATCGAATTATCAAGAAATAAAGATTTTGAGGTGTTGACCGAAGCCTGTTGACCAAATTCGTTGAACTTTTCTTGAATTGACATCGCGCTTTTCACGTATCGGATGCTTTCACGGATCTTTTCTGTCATGGGTTTTAGTGATTCCATTGTGTCTTTCATGAGGGATTTTATAAGATGTGAGGAGCATCTTATATCGAACAATTCCCCGTTTTTTAAAACGGGTCGGTTTTGGGAAAACCATTCTTTTATATGATTGTAAGAGGAGAAATCATCGAGAGTCAACGAGAATAATTTCCGGTCAACGTCCCAATCGATTAAACATTTTATGATTAAATCAGATAACGAGTCTTCTGTTTGTGAAGATTCCAAAGTTAGAAAATTTAGAATCTTTTTCTGCAGCTTCCATTGATCATCGATGTAATTCGCTGTTAAGCTTACGTATTCGGTGTTTTCCGGCGACCACCACATTCCGGCGGAAACACTGATTCTCCCGGGGAGATTCCGGAGGATTTCAAACACTTTTTGTCGTTCTTTCGCGTAAATTGTTAAACAATCGGATTCAATTACACTCGTTGTGATAACTTCAAACATGGGTTGAAGATTTTTAACAAAAATCTTGAATCCAACATGCTCAACCATGGTAGGGGGGTAATCATGGAGCATGATCATACGGGCTAAGTCAAACCGGCTTCTTTCTTGGTCAAACTTGACACTTCCAAGGTTGACTGTTTCTTCCATCTTTGGTTCTTGGTCAAACTTGTATGCAATTGGGATTGGGTTGTCGTCTTTTCTTTGTATGTCTTCATAGTTGACATTTGCAATGCTGACTGTATCATCTTTTCTTTTTCTTTTTGCAGCGAGTATTTGTGACACATCAAAATTGGATCTTTTTAAACATCGCATTAAATGGTTTCTTAAATGAGTGGTGCCACTGTTGCTTGATCCACTTAGTTTTTTTTGACAGTGTACACAAACTGCATAACATGCATCTGCTTTTCTCACCCTTTCAAAGTGGTTCCATACAACAGATGTTAATCTTTTTGGTTTTTTGGCAGGTGTTTCAGCTTGTATTTCCATTGTATAAACTTGATGGAAACCTATTTGATTGAAAAAAATATATAAAGGGATGTCGTCAGTTTATAAGAACTAAAGGTGCTCTAATCTCAAAATACACACAAGAATCGAGAAAATTAAAGTTGACATTCAATATGTATTATAGACTGTTCTTGAAAATCATGGTGAACAGCCTAAAACGAAGCTTTCCAGAAATGAATGGTAACCGTATTCAGTTTTTAGTATTTTTTTTTTATAAAGTTTCATGTGCGTTTTACTGAAATTGATGATCCATGAGGTCATTTCGCATCTGAAGTCAAGGTGGGTAGGATAATGAACAGAAAGTATTTGACTTTCAAGCATGATTACAAGAGAAAAACACACTAAAAATGCGAAAAATAATCATATATGATGACATCAATTGTTCTTAATTCAATGTTAGTTGCATGATCTTGCAGCATCAAAGAATTACAAAGCAGAAACAATCAATAACACCATCTTCCAAACCCTTAATTTCTTCGGCCCCTTTCAAATAGATATTTCCACCTCTAAGATTCAGATATACTTCGATTTTGTAACACAAGTATACTACTTCTCAAACGCAAGAGTGACCCTGATTTCAGTTTTTGCATAGTTAGGCACGATACTATTATATATTATTCTATTTAATAGTACTTAGTTTTGAAGAATTATCGTATGTGTTGACGAAAATATCGAAATTCATATGAATCGAAATTCAAAAGCGTAGCTACTCCTATGAAGAATTGGTACTTTCTAAACTAACGAAATTCTCGATGATCGCATCAATACACACAAGACCACAAAAAACAAACATCCAAAGTTGCAGATTCTTGTAGGATGAAAGCAATAGCTCGACATCAGTTATCAAAAATAAGAAAAAAGGTAAACACGGGTGTATTAACCATGAAGAAATAAAGAAGAGAGATTCGCACCTTTTTGCAGCGGGTTTGTTTTTGTATGTTTTAAATGTTCTCGGTGTTCGTGTATCCCAGAGTCCGATTGGATGATCCGGGAAGATTATGTAGGGTTAGGGTTCGTTTTGTCCATGGGGTTGAAAGGAATTGGAAAGAGGATCTGGATGCGACTGAGAACCCGAAGAAAACCCCCGATTTGGGAGGTGGATGAGATCGAATTGGGTCGTGATTTGGGTTTTGTTTGGTGGGTTAGGTTTCTGGTTTCCCGAATCTTTTGGGATGGGGTGTAATGGGTTTGCGGTTGTGATTGCTGGATAGTGGATCCTATTCCGGGGTATGTGCCAAGTTTTTTTTTCCCTTTTTTTTATTTTTTTTTATTTTTTTTATGGTGGAGGATTTCTCATAAAAGTCATTAGAATAAGATCCCTATAATTACACTTCTTTAAAATTGAATTCAATAAATATTTTCTTGGTTAATATAACAAATAGTTTGGTGTGTTTTAAAATAAATTTGGTAATAACGATCATGAAATGTATTCATTATACGGGTGTTGTTAAACACACCCAAAAAATTAGGTCAAAACCACATTATTAATTAAGTCAAAACCACCTTACCTAAAACCTAAAGGGAAAATGACTTATTAAGGTAACTAACTATTTCAATTGTTCATATATAGGTAATGTTCTTTTTTTTGTACATATTAAGGTAACTAACTTGTTTTGTTTGTTCACATTTAGGTAATATGACCGGCTATCACCTGTTTTTGCTTATGTGGCATCCACCTGGCATTACGTGGCATGGTGCATATATGGGAAAATGACTTATTAAGGTAACTAACTATTTCAATTGTCCATATATAGGTAATGTTCTTTTTTTTATACACATTAAGGTAACTAACTTGTTTTGTTTGTTCACATTTAGGTAATATGACCGACTATCACATGTTTTTGCTTATGTGACATCCACCTGGCATATGACTTGAATACGTTACACCTACGTGGCATCCATCTGACATATGACTTGTTTTGTTTCTTCTTCCTCATCTTATTCTTCAAAACAACAAGATGAATTTCAAGCTGATCATCCATGTGATTGCGGTTTACCATCTCGTGTGAAGATTTCAAGAACTCCTGACAACCATTGAAGAAAATTTAGAGTTCGTTAAAACTCGATGGTAAATCAATATTGTTGAATATGTTGCAGGAGTTCTTGAAATCTTCACACGAGATGGTAAACCGCAATCGATAATCAGCTTGAAATTCATCTTGTCATTTTGAAGAATAAGATGAGGAAGAAGAAGCCATCATCGATCGATCTAGGGTTTAGAATTAGGGGTGGAATCGTATGACACAGTTATAGTGTAATCGAATGAAGACAAAATATGCACCATGCCACGTAGGTGTAACGTATTCAAGTCATATGCCAGGTGGATGTCACATAAGCAAAAACATGTGATAGTCGGTCATATTACCTAAATGTGAACAAACAAAACAAGTTAGTTACCTTAATGTGTATAAAAAAAAAGAACATTACCTATATATGGACAATTTAAATAGTTAGTTACCTTAATAAGTCATTTTCCCATATATGCACCATGCCACGTAATGCCAGGTGGATGCCACATAAGCAAAAACAGGTGATAGCCGGTCATATTACCTAAATGTGAACAAACAAAACAAGTTAGTTACCTTAATGTGTACAAAAAAAAGAACATTACCTATATATGGACAATTGAAATAGTTAGTTACCTTAATAAGTCATTTTCCCAAACCTAAATTGAGATGATGTTTTTAACCAATAAGTGACATTTACAGTTAACATTACCCCACCATATTCTTTATATTCTTTTTTATTTAAAAAAAATTACTTTCATTCCTTATTAATATATTATTAATATATTGATATTCCAATTTTTTCAAGCACAAATATACACACGAATAATCATTGTGGTTTGGGTAATTTACGAGTTTGATCGCTAACTTTTTTTCTTAACTCGGACGGTCACTATTACATCTTTTTGTTGCGCGGTTAGTCCGACCTTAAAAGACTGTTATGCTCTTATTAATTATTTTAATTAATTTTTTATTTACAAATTATTTATAATTTGTAAAAGATAATAACACTCTATACCCCTTCCACTTATCTTCATGTGAAATTGACCAACCATTCCATTGCAAAAGTAATAACTATACTTATATTTATGGTTCTTTAAATTATCCTACATTTACAATAAATATTATATCTTTATTTCAGTAGGTGTAAATGAATACCACTACCATCAAATCAAACTAATATAATTATATTTACATTTACGATCCTTTAACTTATCATGCATTTACAATAGGTAGTAGATACTCTATCTTTATTTTAGTGTGGTGTAAATGAATACAACTATAATCAAATCAAAATAATATAATTATATTTATATTTATGGTCCTTTAACTTATATTATATTTACAATAAATACATTATCTTTATTTTAGTGCGGTGTAAATGAATACTACTACGACAGTAAATGAAAATGATAATTTTATTTATTATAGTTGTGAAAAAAATATCATATTATGTTTTTTCTTGTTCGTTTAATTGTTCGTGATCGTTATTTATCGTTTAAGGTTAAATGAACTAATATGAATAAATCTATATTCATGTTCGTTAGGTTTGTTAACCGGTTGATATCGTTAATATTAAAATTTAAAGAAAATTTTAAAGTTAGAAATATTATATTAAAATTCATATAATAAAATTAAGATATTGTACAAAATAAAATTGGTATATTATATGGCAATTTCAATATTCAATAGTTGAATGTGTAAATTAAAAGTTAAATATATATTAAAGGGTTTTTTTACGAGACTATGACCATTATACAAGTTTTTTTAATTATTTTTGACGAAAGTGTTTATATATGCACAATTTATAGGTATATACTTTTATTTTATTTTTTGAAAAACTTTTTTAGTAAAATGTTTTTTGATTCCAACGTATATATATTAATATTAAATTGTATGGCAACCATATATATATATATATATATATATATATATATATATATATATATATATATATATATATATATATACAACGAGGTTCATGTGAAAAAAAAAACGAAGAAGTGAAAATGCAAGAACCAATAAAAATTGGACACATGTATGTGATTTATATTTTTATTTTTGAATTATATAAAAGTATTGATTAAAAATATAAGGGCAATAAAGTAATTATATATAGGGAAATGTAATCGTGGGTAGTAACTAGTAACTGGATTAAAGATTTTGAATTTCAAATTTCTGGATAATGGCTTTTGAATGTCAAAGAACTTTAGTAACTTCCCAAATCCTGGAGCGTGAATATAATCTGAATATACGACGAGAACAAAGAAGTTGTTTTATTTGGAGGTATGTTAATATTTTCGAATTAGATGTTTGCGTTTAAAGCGATCTTGGATGCTAGTTCAAGTAGGAAAAGGGTTAATACGCAAAGGAAAAAAAAGAAGGTTTTGCAAATGGAATCTGAAGGAAATGTTAATCGGAACTTAAACTTTGTTGATAACCCAATTGAAATTGAAGATGACGAAGAATCGGATGACGATTATTCAGTTGATCATTTACTTTTCCAGAAAAAGTTAATCGATGAAGGTTTGTGGTTTATACAAAACATTGTAGTTTTTTTGATCAAAACTTTGTGGTTTTAAATTTATATTTTGTATCAGATATGAAGAAGACAATTGAGATACATTCAAGTGGTTCTGTGAAGATTGAGAAAGATGACGAAGAAATTCCAGATGACTTTTTTGTGTCAGATATAAAAAATCCAATTGAGATACATTCTAGTGGGTCTTCAAAGATTAAGAAAGATGATGAAGAAATTTCTGATTCTGTTTTGTATAATATACATAGTCAGGGGGGAAATTTTGATGAAGGTATGTGGTTGAGAAATAAGTTTTTACATTTAATTTTAAATAAATTTAAGTTGTTTTATATGTATAACTATTGTCAGATCTGAAGAATACAGTTGAAATACATTCGAGTAATTCTTTGAAGATTAAGAAAGATGGACATCAGATTAAGAAGTCAATGTCTAAAGTAAAAAAAAAAAAAAAAAAAAAAAAAAAAAGTGTATACGGTAATATACATTCATTAACATTTGAAGGTCCCGGTTACATATATTTTATTATTGTATTTTTTGGTTATGTTTTGTAGGTGAAAATGATTTTTCAAGTGATTCTGATTATGAAGATGCGAGTATTAAGGGTTTTAAGAAGTTCATAGTCAAATCTGATAGAAAAGTTATAAAAAAAAAGCTGGTAAATCTGGGAATGTGAAATCTTTGTATGCTCGCGTGTCGCTTAATTCTCTTTATGGGGCTGTCAATTCTATGAATCAGATCCAAAAAGACTGTGTAAGAAGAATAGGATTTGGGTCATTGCTTGATATGAAGACTCAAAGTATACCAACAAAATTATGTTACTTTGTTGTGGATTCTTTTGATCATGAGGAGATGGTGATTAAGAGTAATGTTGGAAATATTGTTGTAACAAGAGAAGAGGTGAATAAGGTTCTAGGTTTGCCTTTGGGTGTTGAGCAGATAAGTTGTCTAGGTGTTCGTGGCAATGAGGATTGGTTTGAAATGTGGAAAGATCAATTTAAAAAACCATTGTCATTAGTAGTTCCTTCTGATTTGGTGGTTAAGATAGTAGAGAGAAGTGAAGCTGATATGGTTTTCATTGCAAATTTCATAATTCTGGTTTGTACATGTTTTGGATCATGTACCAAACAAGGAGGATGTAATATGAAAGTACTTCCTTATTTGTCTTGTTCATCTAAGTTAGATAAAATTGATTGGTGTTCATATATATTGAACTGTGTGAAGGAGGAGAAATTGATATGGAGCAAGAATGACATAAAATCATTTTTTAATGGACCATGTGAATTTCTGACGATATATGATATTAAATTATTTGTTTAGTATATATAATAATAAATACAAATAACATGTTTGTTTGTAATTAAAATTGTATTGTGTAGTTGCTTTATGTTGACAGGATTAAATGTAAGGAAATGTCAATTGTGAGAAGATATCCTGTAATTAATTTCTGGACATCAGAACAACTTAAATTTAGAGAAAGCAAGGAATTGGCCAATGGAGGTTTCGGTAATGGAGTTGATGCTGAAAAGGGTGATGAAGAACTTGAAAGTGGATACATATTAGTAAGTTTGAGTAATTGTATTTTTTTTATTAAAAAATTTAAAATTGCAAACGTCTTATTAATGTATTGTAACTATATTTACAGGATATTCAGTCAGATATTCAGTGGGCTGTGTCTGACTTGTCCAAGAAAGTGGAAATGGCATTGCAAAAGCATGCAAATCATCAAATATTTCATTTTTATAAGGGGAAATTAGAACAACTTGTTTTTGATATTTCAAAATTCCAACAGAGTGATTTTAAGAATCATTCAAGGTCTGACTCATTATCAAGGAAAATTACTTTTGAGGATAAGTCTTTCACAAATAAGGAAATGGGGAAAGGGTTTTACAGAAAAAATAATGGGCGTTTGTATGGTGAGAACGATGAAAGAAACAACTTTATGAATGAAGATGTACCATCATTTGATTTAGGAATAGAATCTGAGATGTGTACCCCAAAAAAGGATTGTTTGAGTTCGGGTATTGAAATTCAAGATAAATCAAAGTCTTCAGTGGTATTTGAATCGCCAGTGAATTTAGTCGGTAACAAAGTGGATGTTCCAAGTTATTTGAGTAAAAGAGTTGAAAGTGAACCGGATAAAAAATCAAGGCCAAAGAGAAACCAAATGTTACCACCGGTGAGAAGGTCTCCTTTTGTTATTCGTGCTGTTGATATTGAATCAAATTTAACGAGGGAGGAGAATATCATATCAAATTGGGTATTCAGTTTATGCCAAGATCCAATGTAATGTTTAGACTATATTAATAAATGTTATTATTAAATTGTCATGTGTTAATATTTATATTGTAATTTTGTAGGGACAACTTATTTCAAAGCATATCAGGTCAACATGGAGAATGCCATATGTTTGAGAGTTTATACCCGCATGAACATCTTTTTTCTGGTACAATTGATTGCTTTGTCGATGTTTTAAACTATGATGAGAGAGTAAGAAATATGGACACTCCTTCATGTTTCTTTTTCAAGACGTCTGTTTTGGTAAACCTCATATTCTTTTTAATTTTATTACTTATTTGGATATAACATTGATAGTTAGTGTTTTCTGAATATGTAGGATCCTTCATTTATGCACATAAAAGGATCAAAAACTGAACAAGATTACCAAATATTCAAAGAGAATGTTGTTCACTGTTTGGGTGTATCTCAAGATAGAAGAAGGTTGAAAGGAATTGATATGGTAATGTTGTAATATGTTATTTATTTATTTATTTCAAAGAATAAAGGGTATTAGTGAAATTATGATATTGATTTCCAGGTTTTTTTTCCTGCACGTTCAAACAATCACTATTTTGTGTTTGTTTATGACTTTAAGAATCGCAAAGCTGTGATTTTGGACAACATATTGTACAGTTTTTCCAACGAAGCATATCCAGATCTTATGCTTAATTTGGTAAGTGATTTTGTATTTGATTAAATTTTAATTTTACTATAATGGATTTGTGTTATATTTTTTGAAAAGTGAAAATAATTTTATATATCAATGCAGAAATATATGTTTGGAAGGTATCTACAAGAAATAAATCATAATATGGCGTTTGCGGTTCAATATGAGATTGATTTTGTAGATCAATATATGACTTGGAAAACAAGAGGTAACTCTAATGATTGCGGTATTTTTTTAATGAGGCATATGGAAACGTATAAAGGAGGTCCGTTAGCACAATGGTGTTGTGGTTTAAAAAGGGAAGGTGTTGAACAGTTACTTCAAATAAGGAATCTCCGAAGGAGGTATTGTTTGAAAATACTGTTGAGTGAGGTGAACATAATGAAGCCTAAAGTTGTTAATCTAATTAATCAATATCAAAGGATGCCTGCTAATGATAGGCGGATTATGTATCATGAGGCTATTATTAACATAGGATCTCGTCTCTCAGCATTTGGTCCATGAAAAGGTGTAATGGTTGTTAAATTAGTAATCTGCAGTGGTAGGTTGTAGAAGTGATTGTGTTTAGTATTATGCAGTAGCAGTGTTTTGTGTTATTATTTAGTTTTAGTTAGGTATGCTATAAGTGTTTGGTAGATAATATAATGTTATCTTTTACTGTTAGATGTGAATTGATGAAATGTAAGACATGTTTTAAAGTCGATGTGTTAATGATGTTTTGTTAAATTGTATAGTTATGTGTTAAAGCTACAAGTTGTTTCATTTGTAATGGTGAGAAGTAGGGATGAGCATTTGCATCGGGGAACCGGTCGGAACCGGTAATTTAACCAGAACCGAATAGAACCGTTCGGGATGGACCGAGACGATTTTATTGTGGATTTTTGGAACCGGGAATTGGTATTAATTGGCGGTCCGGTTCGGTTCATATTTTCCACCAAGTTCGGTCGGCTCCGGTTCGTGCCGGTTACGGCCGGGCTGGGTCACAAGTATTGTTATATATATATATATATATATATATATATATATATATATATATATAAGTGAAAGGAGAACAATTCGTGAATAGTTATTAAATTAGTTTTGTAAATATTTTTAAGAATGGTTAATATGTAAGTGAAAGGAGAACAATTCGTGAATAGTTAGTTGATGAATTGAAAATGTCTTAACATATATTTCGGATGTTGTGTGGGTTATGTATGTCTAAAAGATAATCAAAAATATACATAATGGAGAGTTTACATGAAAAAAAGTTTAAGAATAAAGAAAAGAGATTGTGTAAGTTATGTAAAATATTAATGGATCATGATTCTAGGAATTGTCCATATGACAAAAGAGTTGCACAGAGGAGTTGCTATGAAGAATTTGAAGGAAAGAGATTTTGTAAGTTCTGCAAAATAGTTGGTTTTCATGATATAAGAATTTGTCCTTATGACAAATTACATTAAAATTTATTTTTTATTATTACAATAAGTTTTGGATTTCTTTTAATTTTTATATATTTGTTTTCCAATAAGGTATGGGTTGTAGGTGTAATTGAAATAAGATTTTATATTATGTTTTAATGATGTTTTTTATATGATTTTTATGAAATAATCGGATTGCTTTTAATTTTTATATATTTGATGTTATTATAATAAGTTTTGTATTGATGTTACAGTATGTTAATATGCCGTTTTGGTTTTGAATGCTCGTTATATATATATATATATATATATATATATATATATATATATATATATATATATATATATATATATATATATATATATATATATATATATATATATATATATATATAAATACGTTTCATACGTAACAAACATTCAGATAAATTTAAGAAACATTACAAAGTTTTAACCCTAATATTAGTAACATAAAGCATAAGTACATACAATTAAAAAATAAAATGAAGTTATTTATTGTTGTTTTTTGAAAGGCTTAAGGAATTTGGAACGATTTATCGGACAGTTTCTTCTATCATGGTTGACTAATTGCTTGCATCCATTGCATATACGTTTTGCTCAAAGAGATTTAGCTATTGCTTTTTCTGCTGCACTTTTGATTCTATTTCTCTTTCCACTTCCTTTTGTTTTTATCCCACTAGGTACTTTGATTTTAATATCATCTGCAATATGAAGTCCAATGACATTTTCAACAACTTCTTTTATTGGATTTGAACTTGGTTTAGATGCAACATTCTTTCCACAATTTACACTTAATTCTTGAAGAGCATTCACCAATTCTTGTAATGTTTCCTTGTCATGAACAACCGTATCAATGCATTTCTCATAATATGAAAAAGCATCTCGCAGGAGATTAGAAATATTTGTATTGCACACTTGCCATCTGTGGTTTACCTTTTGAAAAGCAACATCCAATATGTTCTTTTTCCATCGATCCAAAATGTATTTCTGGGGTATCTCGAATATGTTATAATCTATTAGAACTCTAAAAGCATGACTACATAGTATTCCAAAAAATTGGAAATGCAAACATGCACAGTCAATTGTTTGTTCATGTGCATTGAAAGATACCTGAAAGATAATCAAAATATTTGATTAAACAAATATTAAGATAGAACTTAAAATAATTGTAAATAAATATCATCAACAAATAGAATTAAAATTAACCTTAAATTCGGGTCTTTTGCCTGACTTAACTTCCTTGTAAACGATTGTGCATTCTTGAAAGCCATTAACTATGATAGAAGTCTTTTGAAAACACTGATAAAATGCCTTTTTAATCTGTTTCTGGACTTTAAGGAATGCTTCTCGTGTGTAGACTAATGAAGCATGTTTTTCAATCTTCAAAGGATCAGGAGCAAATAAAAGTTGGGGAGAAGTATCTCTTGATGCAATATCCAATCTTTTTTGCTCATGACGTTGCTTTGAAAGTGCAGTGTCAAACTTGAACATAAAGTTTACAAGTAAGTTTGTTGCACTGGAGAAAACATTGAAAAATGAATTTGAACTTTCAGACCGAGATGTAGTTTTCATAAGGCCACACATAGGTATATCTCTAAAGTATGAAGGAATCCACTTGTGTCTCTTGTTGAACATATCATCTAACCATTTATTTTCCCTCAGATCAAATTCATCCAACATCATATCCCACTGACACTCAAATTCTGATGGTTCAATATTCATACTCCAAACTAGTTGATTTATGCGTTTCTTGAAATCTGAATTTGAAACTACATTGGGATCAATCTGTCATTTAAAATGTGTGGATATTATTATTTTTACATAAGATATATAAAATTTAATGAATAAACTAATATATTACCTTTGAAGGCATTTTTGACATTATGTGCCACATACATAATCTGTGTGTACATCCTTGAAGCTCCTTTGATATAGAAGAAGTTAAAGCTGGATCCATATCTGTCAAAATCATGGTTGGTTTTTTTTTATGTGCTGATAGAAAATCTTTTAATAACCAGGAGTATGACTCAATTGTTTCATCTGATATTAGTCCTGCTCCAACATTGATTGTCTTCTCATGGTTGTTAATAGCAGTGAAAGGAACAAATATCATATTGTACCTGAAATTTTTAAAAAATTATATAAATAAATATATACTATATTTTATTATATATAATCATACCTGTTTGTTCTGTACGTTGCATCCATTGAAATAACATCTGAAAACTTAGAGTAGTTTTCTTTTCCTGTTTCATCAACCCAAAACATAGCACTTAGTTCCTCATCATTTAACTTGTATTCAAAATGGAAATTTGGATAATTATCCCTGCGAATTATCAACTGGTCTACAACACATTGAGCATCATTGGGTCCAACAATATTGGTATAATCTCTCCAAAAATTCTTGAAATCATTCTTTGTTGCTGGCAAATGATCATATCCTCCTTTTAATGATGCCCGTATCTTGTGTGCTTTAGTTGCACCAATGTTGAGAGTTGAAGCTTTGAAAATAAGTTCTTGATCAGAAATACTAAGTCTATGATTATGAGAACAAAGACTTTCTTCATTAAATTCAGTAAGTGGATGGTTGTGTGCTTCTTCAAATGCATATACAGTAATAGTATTTGTTTTATAATTTCTGTCAAAACCAATCATCGCCATACATCCTGTAACTTTTGAATATGATTTTCTTTCCTGCTTTTTCAGTCGTTTGGATGTAAGAGTATCAATGGATTTTTTTTCTTGGTTGTCCATATCTGTTGCATCTTACATGTTTTTTTCTTAGACTGTAGTCACCATATGTAGTTGTGGATCCTAATCTAATTCCAAAACCAGCAGCTTTTCCATATGTTCGATACATTTCAATTCCTTCATCTACAGTTGACACAGTTTCTCCTTTTTTAGGAATCAAATCTGCGGGAACATTTGGATGATACAGTTCTTCTTTATCTATGGTTGATTTTCCTGTCAAAATTTCAAAAAGCTATATATTGTTGTATGTATATATATATATATATATATATATATATATATATATATATATATATATATAGATATATATTTAAAATAAAGTATGAAAACTTGCCCTTATAATTTTTGTTTATTGTTGATTGTGAAGTCCCAATTGCAGAATCATTGAAAGATACAGTTGCTTCATGGAAAAATAAAAAGAACATAAGGATTTAAAAGATTGCGTAATCATGTATTTCAATTGATAGTATATTCTTTTAAAATCAATCAATAATATATAATAAAATAATGGTTGAAATCTTACCTTTATCACCTTCGGTGTGTTGAATTAATGTTGATTTGGATATTTCAATAGCTGAATCATTGAAAGATGCACTTGCTTCATGGAACAAAAAAAAATAGATAATGATTTAAAAGATTGCGTAATCATCTATTTCAATAGTTAGTATATTCTTTTAAAATCAATCAATAATATATAGTAAAATAATGGTTGAAAAGTTGCCTGTATCACCTTTGGTATATTCAATTAATGATGATTCTGAAATTTCAATAGCTGAACATCGGAACGATTTATGCCCTTCATGATTAAAATCATAAGAAGATGACTTTTCAAATTCGTGCGTAGACATCTTTTCAAATGGTAATTAAATGTTTTTAAAATCAACGATTATCTTTTTCAATCTATGAATAATTGTTAGAAGAAAAAGCAATTGAGTTAAATGCGTAAAGATTAATGTGTTCATACAAGAAGTTATCGCTAAAGCAGTTAACGCACACGGTTTAGTAATTTGTAAACTGATTCAATTCCTTTTTCAATAAATTACTTATATACCCTTTTTAAATAATTTAAATTAACAAAAATTTATAAAACATAACTAATGATGTGTAGCATTCCTATTGGTTCTCGCGTTTTCACATATTCTTTGCGTTTTCGCATGAGCCTTCCCCTATATATATATATATATATATATATATATATATATATATATATATGAAGAAATAATTCAAATTAATATATTGATTTTAAGTTAATAGTTATAAACCTAAAGTGTATTAGCTGAAATTTTTATTGGAACTTTTATAAGCTTAAGGGGTGTAACTGAAAAAGTTTGTTATATTTAAAGAATTCATAGATGGTTTTTAAATAATATAGAGTTTGAAAGTATTAATAATACAATCCATGTGAATATAATAAATAATATGCCAAAGTAACAAGTATCAATAATAAAACGGTCAATCTTTTTTTTTTTATTCGTAAAATTAAAATTGAATTCGTACATTACACGAATACTAAATACTATAACCTAAAGGGGGTTGAAGTGTAAATATGATATAATTCCAATTGTTAAAATGATTTTAATCGGTTTGCTATAGTCAACACTCTCCCATCAAATTGAGTTAGTACAAGTCAAAATCATTTTGACTTTTAAAATGGTATTTAATGGGTGCATATAGAATCCCCCTTCATTGAAATGTGATAGGAAAAACTGTAGTAAAATTCTTACGTATTAAGTTCTTATACTTTTTATAATCGATTTAGTTCCTATATTTTCTTTATTCAATTAAATCCCAAAAACCGATAATCGTATTCAATTTAACCTGTTTATCGGTCAATAGGTCATCCAACTTTCAAAATTTATATTTTTTGCCCATATTTCAAAATTAATTACAATTTTGGTCCAAAATTTATACTTTTTGCTCAGATTTTAAATTTTAATACAAATTTGATCCAAAATTTATCCTTTTGGCCCAAGTTTTAGAATTATATTATTAATTCATCCTAACTTTAGTTTTTTTACAAATGGATACCCGGTCTAACCAGTTTCAGTTGTGGATTAACTTGTGTTTTAAAAGTTGGTTTCGGTTAAACCTATAAATAAAACATTTTTTATTCAAAATTTACCCCAACCAAATAATACTTGTATTATATTTGATTTTAAAATGCAGATAATAAAACAACATAGTTTGAACTTTAAAGTACATAAAAACATAAATGTCGAAACCAAAAATTCTAGCAATTATAGACTTGAAATTGGTTGTCTTCATATAATCAAATATTTTTAATCTGGCAACTCTTCAAATTCACCATCATCTACTTCGGTCATTCGAGGAGGTATTCCATGTGCAATCTTTTATTCTAGGATGAACTGTTAGACGGGTGGTAAAAGTGGTACTTCAAACGGAATGTAATTTTGTATCCTTTCAATGTCTTTTAAGTAATTCTTCAAGCAAACACATGATCGAAAGGTGAGTCGTAACCTTCGTTTCGATATGACCTTTTCATGAAGAGAAAAAAAAAATTAATGCTACCATGGAAGCTTAGACAGCTTGTAAATCACAAACCATAACGGTGTCAAGAATTGTGGTTTCATTTCTCTCCACCAAGCCAAAATGTCAAGGTTGTGGAATTCATTGGGCGAAACATGAGTTAAAATTTTTTATGCCATATAGTTGCCCAATTCGTTACTTGCGGTTGAAGTTCTTTGGCATTTATTATTCGTCCTCCATCAAAGTTTTATATAGTTGGATATACACATCTCGATCAATACTAGATGATCCCATCATCCCCCTCCGCATATGAAAGTATTGGATTACTCGGTTGATCATATTTGATCGCATAAACAGTGGAATAATTTTTTTAAAGTGTCATTGAATTTAAAATTTTGAAATTTAACCAAATATAGTTCAGGTTCACTTAAACTTAAAATTGTTTTTCCAATTAAAATTTTGAAATTTAATTTTTTTTAAGTGGAATAATTATTTTTCCCATTAAACTTAAACTTAAAATATATTTAAGGTAGGATTTATGGCAGTAGCACAACTGTAAACCAAAGGTAACTCCCAAAAACATTTTAAATAGTTCCCTGTGGATATCGTGTGTACTTACACATGCAGTCTCATCAAAAATTCAAAATGGCAGTTATAAGGCAGTTGATAGCAGTTTCAACCTTCTTTCTAATAACAGTAGAAACAATCCCATTTTCATAGTAGCTACCTAATTTTGCATCATATTCTAGTATCGAAAGGAGTAACAAGTCAACATACGTTTAAGTGGACTTTTCACCAAGTAAAAATAAGTCTGAATATTCAAAAAGATGACTTACAGTAGATTTATAGAAAAAGAGTAGTCCAGAAGTAGTAGACTTATTTTATACCCTATTTCATATAATCTTGATCTTCTCTCTTTAAGTGTTATCTACAACCTGTCAATAATAAAAATAAGCCAATATAACAGTGTTAAAACTTAAAAGTTAAAACCAAATGGCATATATATTAACAAAAACTAAAAACTAAAATCACCGATTAAATTAAAACCTAAAAATATTTTCTTACGTGAACAACTGAGGTCGGGTACGAGAAAGTTGAGGCCTTTTCATTGGTGACAATATCAAATTTCTCAACGTCATCGAAGGATTTCCTGCTCCACCACCACCACCACCGCCGCCACCACCACCACCACCGCCAAACATCTGGCGACCAATACTTCTTCTGTTTTCAACTGGATTTACAGAATGTTTTACAGGTGGGCTATTAGAGATGTCGAAGGGCCCACCAGAGTTAGAACTGTTTTGTCTTGTGGTTCCTGGCCATATATCTTCCCGAGGTCCTGGAGTGTCAGGGGTGTAAACCGACCAATCTGCAGCAAATAAGTGAACTAGCATTTCTTGGGGAATACCAAGTAAATTAACCCTTATATATAATAGCAATGTACTTTGTTTTTTCTTTTTTTTTCAGGATAATAATATGAAAAAGTGAGTATATCTATAATTCTATATATGCATGTATTATATTGAAATAACTTTTGATAAACAAAATGAGATTACCTTTCCTCATGGGATCTCTGTTATCCATCATGTTAGCAGGACTGGAAAACAGATCAGAATCACCAGCAGCCCTTGAGAAGAAGTTGTTTGCAGGTTGAATGGCTGACCGTTTGACCGACTCATACTCACTTCTCAATTGGTCATACATCTCATCCAGTTTTCGTTTTTGCCTTATCAGTAAAAAAGTAAAAACATTGATGAAAGTGAAACTTTAATTTCACTGTTTGTAAATTCAGGGGACAAGTGGACAAGTGGCTGCTGACCTGGATTTCTCAGAAAATTTTTCTTGGAGTTCTTGTTTATCTTTGGATAAGTTTTGAATTTCTTGTTCCATCATTTGACACCTTTTGCCCATTTTCTGATATGCAGTGTGCAACTGTTCCATTTTTTCTGTGAACTTTTCTTGCATTGTTTCGCATTTTTGTTTGCACTGAGCTACTATCCTGTTCATTTTGAATTGCATTTCTAGTTCCTTTTGTCCAATATAGAACATGACACTTTTATATGCACTCTTCATTACTTTATTTGTGTCAAGGAAAGATAAAGATATATATATATATATATATATATATATATATATATATATATATATATATATATATATATGGATCACATACATGATACATTAATATGTCTGATTACCATATTCAAGTAAATAGGATACATATTTGTGGAGATATGCCAGCCATAGCCATCTGCAGAGAAGCAAGTGAAGGAAGTTAAGATATATGAATACTGAAATGTAAAAGTAATTAATGAAAATCAATTTGGATATTGCAACATTATACTGAAGTAAATATTTTAACAGAAAACTCTTGTAGATGTGCTTTCTTACATTTACCCATTCTTCATTTGGGTTGATATCCACAGGTTTCATTAGACTGAAAGCAAAAACACATATTAAGTTTAAAATCAACTAAAATGTGAGATAGAAGTATTCTATGGATGATACATAGAGGAAGTGGAAAACTAGAAAGTACCTTTTGGAAAGTACTTGATCACAAATAGGGCAAGATGCATCGTTGCTTAGGATCTTACTGGCATCTTCGTGGCCTTTGAATCTCATTAAGGAAAATAAGTTGTGTATCATGTCATGCACTGATTGAAAGAAGTGTAATTGACTACAGTCTATAAGATTATAAGGTTAGGATACACAAGAGATGGCCACATGTGGTAGAAATAGCTTGTCCTTCTAGCTCCCTCCAGCATGCATTACACTTCATTGCAGTGTATATGATGATCTTCAGATGATTTGATGCTTCTTAGTCCTTAATAATACCTAATGATAAAGATGACCATCTGAATATGAGAAGTTTGCAGTTTTTCTATGCATAGTGGAAAGCTCGAGGAAAACCAAAAACAGTGAGCTATGAACAAAGCCATTTGATCAATTGTGATTACCATCAAAGATGAGTACCTAAAAGCCATATGCACACTAATCTGAACATATTAGAATATGAGAGTGAACAAGATGACTACATTGTATTATGTTGGCTCACAGCAGCAAAAACTTTGCATTGTAAAAAGAACTGAATGACAAAAGATGATGCCATTAAAGATGACTTCTGTGTCACTGTTTTTGAAGAAAAGCATACTCCGTAGTTTAAATATGAGAAGATGATGGCAGATGTCAAAGATGAAGCAATTTTAAGCTTCTAACAACTTCCGGATAACCAAAATTACTATAAGCATTGTCTGATTGAACGATTTAACCTGACATGAGATCTACTTCGGTCTTCTTCTGAATTAGCCATGTAGAACCTTAAACTACATGCCTCTGAGTGTTAGCAAAAGTAATTCAAACTTCACGCTCAACATTTAATATTAGGCGATTAGTAATTTCACTCTGTTTCTTAAGTTTTCTTCCAAGGCAATATGTGATATGATGAATTACTACAGACGAACAAAAACTTATGACATGAAATAGAAAAAGAGGACCGGAAATTCACTACCTTCAATTTCGGAAATACCGATAGAATCAGCGTAGTCGTGAATCAAACTTGAGGCTCAACTCGAAATGACTAGAACAAGTTACGAAACATATCCGATCACAGCTTCAAAAACGATCGGATTGCGATCAAGCACGAAAATCTGCAAAATCATCAAGTTATAACATAAATTAAACCTAATTGACATGATACGAGAAGCTTGAATCGGTGAATTCGAAATTTCGAGGCTATAAAACATGCTGATCCTGTCGATTTTCGTATGGCAAACTAGATTTCAATCCGCTAAACTGTTTGATAACATAGCAACACTAAAATTCATTATATCAAACATTATAATTCTCAAATCGCACTTACAAAACAAAATTTTCGATCGTTGCTATCACTGTGTGCACTGTGCAGCTTGCTCGCTATCGGTGAGATTATAATGGCGGTAATAGCAACTATTTAAAAGTGTCACGGTCAATGGTCGCCTCCTCTCATCTGTAAGACGTTCTTCTTTTTTATTTTTTATAGCGTTATTGAATTTATATATTTATATTTTATTATTTTTAAGTAAAATCTCTTTTGTTGTTAAACAGTTTATTAAATTCAATTTTTATTCTTAAAACTGTTATTAACCGTTCCTGATGTTAAACTTTTTATTGTCCTTATCAACTTTTCATTAACTTTTATTTTATAAAAGAATTGTTAAAAACTTTTTCCATAATTTATATTTTTTTCAATTTTATGTTATGAAAAAATAGAAAACAATAAATTTGTATTTTAAAATTTTAAAACACGACAAAAACTTAAGTAAAAAAAACGACTCTGAAGTATACCCAAATGGAGAGAGAACCACGGGGGATGGAGTCAGGCACGTCGGAGAAAGAGATACGGGAGAGAGTTCGACATACATGGAAAAGTTGTAACCTTCTACGTTCAAAACTTTCCTCCAAACTAGAATGAAGCGGCATTATGGCGGATGTTTAATAGATTTGGGACAGTTGTTGATGTCTATATTGCCAAGAAGCTGAACCGTCTCAAGAAGAACTTCGGTTTTGCTAGATTCATACGGATTCAAGAAATTCCTTCTTTTGAGAAACATCTAAATAAGATTTACATTGGAGCACAAAAGATTGAAGTCAATCTGGAACGGTTTGATAGGAAAGAGCATTTGAATCGAAGAAACAATCCTCAAGCTATGGGAAGCTTGCATGCAGCTCCAACAACGAACCCACGATCACACACTTCGTTATCTCAAAACAATTTTTTTCCTTGACCAAAACCTAGTATTAATACCACTAGAGTTGAGTTTTAACGTTAATCGCAACTAATTAATAGTCTAGCTATTATTACTATTATATAAGCGTTAAATAACACTCAATATAACTCATAATATTAGTCCAAATAATTATTTTAAGGTCCTTATAATGTTACTATAATTAAATAAAATCTATATTAAATATAGTGTAGGCGTAACTCACTTACAACGGGTTTTTATTAAAAACCAAGCTTCGCTGGAGCAGCGTTTCCGAGCCGAAAGCTTTTCTTCTCGGAGCCGTCGGGCGCTCCGAGGCTTTCTTCTCGTGATAGGGAGGTTCCCTAGACTTGGGAGGGGTTTAGGGAGGTTAGAGAGAAGTTAGAGAGAGAAAGAAAGGTTTGAAGGTGTGAGGAAATTATGAAGAGTTCATCTCTTATTTATAGGAATTGTATAGTAAAATAGTCTCAAAGCTTCGTCCGTAACTTTTGCCTACGAGCTCCGTTTTTGTCTGCCTTTTTACTGTTGAGTTCCTATTAAAGAGATCTTCAACTTTCATTTAGACCTCGTTGGCTAATTCTCATTCTATCTCGAATTTACAAAATTGTATCGAATTTGTCGCGCTCGAAAAGTAGAGACTAAGCTTCGTCCATAACTTTCTCATACGAGCTCTGTTTTTTTATGTCTTTTTACCATTGAGTTCCTATTAATGAGATCTTCAACTCTCATTTAGATCTCGTTAGCTAATTCTCATTCTATCTCGGATTTACAAAACTGTATCGAATTTGTCGTGCTCGAAAAGTAGGGACTAAGCTTCGTCCATAACTTTCGCATACGAGCTCTATTATCGACATTCTTTATATCCACGCGTTGGTATTTATGAGTACTACAACTTTCATTTAGATCCCGTCGGCTGATTCTCACTTTATCTTAGGTTTACAAAACTGTATCGAATTCGCAACGCTCGAAGAGTAGGGACTAAGCTTCGTCCATATCTTTCGCATACGAGCTCCATTTTCGAATGTCATTTTATCGTTTAACTCCTATTAACGATATCTTCATTTATCGTTTAGATTATTTTGGCTAAAAATCGACCGATCTAAAATTCAGATTTCGGCTGTGCACTACTATGCTAAATCTTAGAAAAATCATAACTTCCTCATACGAAGTCAGATTTGGATGTTCTTTTTATGCACACTATCGATTTAACATATACTACGAATTTCGTTTAGATTGCTAAGGCTAAATCTCGCTCTATCATAAATTCACTATTTACGCCTCCCGGTATCGTGTCGGTTCCGTCACGAAACTTCGAGGGGTCATAACTTCTTCGTTATAACTCGGATTTCGACACTCTTTATATGTACGGAAACCTTGTAACATATACTAAAACTTGGTTGATATTATTTATTCTTAATAATCTTTTGTCGAAAAGTTGTTTTCGACCCCTATTGCTTCTAAATTGACCAGCCCGGATCTACGGGCGTTACATTAAGCAATTATGCAGTTGCTAATGGGTATGATCTATGGTTTGAAAAAAAATGACTCTGATAGATTGTTAGTGAAATGTTGCAAAAAGAATAAGTCACCATCTTGCCCTTTTAGACTATGGGCCTCCTGGATGAGTAAAGAAAAGACTTTTCAGATCAAATCTCAAGTGAATGAACATAACTGTTGTAGGATGTTTATGTTTGGGTCAATAGTAACTCATAGATGGATAAGGAAAATTGTTATGAGTCAAATTATAGAGAACCCAAAAATGAGTGCAAGGAAGATGAAAGCTAAAGTGTCAAACGACATTCAACATAAATGTGAGTGTGGGGAAATGCAAAAATGCAAAGAAATTTGCATTACAATAGATTGAAGGAAGTCTAATTGAACATTATGGGAGATTGTGGTCATATGGTGAGGAAATTATCAGGTCAAATCATGGGTCTACTGTGAGGTTGGATGTAGACGTCATGCCAGATTCCACAACTTTGTTTTCCAAGTTTTATGTGTGTTTCAAAGCTATAAGGGATGGTTGGTTAGAAGGGTGCAGGCCTGTAATTGGGCTTGATGGTTGCTTTTTAAAGGGTATATTTAGAGGAGAAGTTCTTTCAGCTGTTGGGGGAGATGCAAACAACCAACTCTACCCTTTAGCATGGGTTGTGGTATGTGTTGAGAATAAAGAAACATGGAAGTGGTTCATAGATTTGCTTATGGATGACATTAATGGTGGTCTTGGTGCAGGCATTACCCTTCTTTCTGATGGACACAAGGTTAGTACTAGGTCCTTTTTATGCTTCATTTTTATGCTTTTTCACTCATAATGATGTTGTGATTTATAGGGGTTATTACAAGCAGTTAAGGAAAGATGTCCAGAAGCTGAACATAGGCAATGTGCTAGACATATTGTGCCCAAATTTAATAAAAGGTTTACTGGTCAAGAATACATGAAGTTATTTTGAAGGGTTGTAAGGGCTAGTACTGTGGAAAAGTTCAGAGGTGTAATGGAGAAGATCAAATCTATTGATACTCATGCTTATGGTTACCTTATAGACAGAGATCCTACTACCTGGTCTAAGGCATTCTTTCAAGAAGGAAGAGATTGTGATGTAGTGGAGAATGGGGTAAGTGAGAGTTTCAATTCTGCTATTAGGCATGCTAGAAGGAGACCTATAATCACTATGCTGGAGGAGACTAGGTTATTTGTGATGGAAAGGATATACACTCAAAGAGTTGAAGGAATAGAATGGGATTTGCTTATATGTCCAACTATTAGGAAGCGTATAAAAGATTTGAAGGTTAAACAGAGGTAAGTTTTTTACTTTAATATGCTTATGTTAATTATGAGGATGTGTTATTGATTTATATTTTTTGCTTTAAACAGATTGTGGGGAGTTACTCCTTGTGGTTATCAAAAGTATGAGGTTAGATTCACTGATGTTGCATATGGAGTGGATCTAATTGCAAAGAAGTGTGCCTGTAGAATATGGCAACTTATAGGGATACCATGCTTACATGGAGTGGCAACAATCTCTTACTTAAATCATGATGCATAGACATATGTGTCCCAAACATAAACTATTGAGGCTTCCCTAAAATGCTACAAATATAGCATTAATCCTCTCAACAGTAGTGATATGTGGCCAGATGTTCCATACCATAAGCCTTTGCCTCCCAAAAGAAGAAGATTACCTGGTAGGCCATCAGTGAAAAGGAAGAGGGATGCATTTGAACGAGAGTTGACTGGACCAAGTAGACAAATTGTCACAAGAAGGGGAAGCCTAATAAAGTGTGGTATTTGTAAGGAACTAGGTCACAACAAGAAAAAATTTCCATCTAACCAACAAAGCAATACATCAGGTTAATATTTTTAAAAACATTACATCATTTGAACAAAGAATTGGCATTTTAATTTTTGTTTGTAGTACCAAGTTCATCCAGGGGTAGTGGAGCAGACCCAAGTTTATCCAGGGGCAATGAAGGACCACCACATACAGCCCAACCACCTCCTCCACCACCACCTGCAGCCCAACCACCTCCACCACCACCACTTGTAGCCCAACAACCTCCTCCACCACCACCTATAGTCCAACCACCTCCACCACCACCACCTGCATCCCAACCACCTCCTCCACCACCTCCTGCAGTCCCCATGCCAAGAAGAAGGGTCCTGGTTGGTAGAAGTGGAAGGAGACAATATTCTGAACGGATCATCAAACAAGCATTAAGGAGGCAGATACCTGGGGTTGGGAGCAATGTAGATATCCCTTCAGTTATTGATTAATTTAGTGGGTATGTAGTGGGTGGCTAGGCATATCTTTTGTGAGGCAGTTTTGATGTAAAGACAAAGTAGTAGTCTTTTTATTATGCTTTTATATGGTACTATCAAGTAGGTGTGTGGGTACATGGTGACCCTTCTTTTGTCTATGCATGAATCTTTTGTGTTACCTATGGGTTTTGGTCATAAGACATCCTATGTGCTCATACAAACCCTAATGCTCGGATCTAGGTTTCTCTATTGTACATGCAAGTTATCCAAGACTATAAACCCTAATTCTAGCATTCAAATAATCATATTAGCCATAAGAATAAGTTTATAATGTTACCTTGATTGTTATGTAGCAATAACAATCCCAAATCTCCTTGTATTGACTTTGGAAGGCTTAGAGTCACAAGTGTCACTCCTCTAATGGTTCACAAACACCATAAGCAAGAGGATGAAGTGGAGAGAGGTTGGAGGCTACCAAAAACGTGTAGATAGCCTAACAAGAAGCTTAGCCACGTTTTTTAGCCTTAAGGGGTCTTTATATAGTTGGGCTATTAGGGTTATCTAACAAGGAAACCCTAAATTAGATGCTTAAGCCTTTAGCAACCCATGGACCCTTCTAATTAAGGCCTTGGACGATTTCATATGGGCTTCCCCCATAGAATTCGTCCACCCCTTAATATAAGGCAATCCATGGCCCAAATTGCAATTATCTTATAATTACAATTCCAGTCCCTTAAGTTTAATTAATCTCTTTTAGTCACAAAACTAATTAATAATTAATTATTGACTAATATTAATTAAACATTATGATTTCTCCTTTAATATATTATTCCCATAGTATATTAATAAATCATATTTAATCCTTTCTCTCCATAATTCATCCTATCAAGTTGCTTTGGTGAAGGCAACCCAAAAGGACCATGCACCATCTGGTTAAGTACATACCAAAATATTTATGGACTTAGACACTAATCCAACAGTCTCCCACTTGGATAAATCTAATAACTATTCTGCGTATGACTTCAGATCCTGATCTGCAATCGTAGCTTTCCAAAGCCGCTGTCAACTCTGATCCTATCAAATACGCGTGTCCTTCAGATAAGGGATCATATATTCCTCCATTCTAGATATCGTAAGACATGATTTCTAATCATTCTCTTTGTACTATTTCTCGATTTCCGATTTATGACGACTGACTATTGAACAAATCAAATTAGCCCTAGCCCGGCCGAGCATTTACGTTTGTCATCACTAAACCATCGAGGGGCCCAAAGATATCACTTTTATTCTACTTTGAATAAAAGGAACGGATAAAATTTGATACAATGCTTGCTTGCACTCACTCACCGAATCACACACAACAATATGTTTTATAATACCAAGTTACTAGTGCATTTTCATATTATCAATGTGCAACCAATTTGCAAGATACAACTCACACATCTCGGTTTCAAGAATATAAGATGTTATCGTCTCACCAATCACTCGTGATACAATTCATGGAGTGATCCAAGTGAGCGTGGGTTTAATCCAATGCTAAAATTCATATTTATAAGCACTCATGAACGTTGCAACAAACATTTGCTTATGTCTAATACTCTTTTAGACAATCCACACACCAATTCACGATAGTCTTCATTCATATCTACTTCCAACATATGAACGACTGTGACCCATTTAAATAATTTGATTATTCTTAATAAACTCAATTATTCTGGAAGTCAAAACATGCAAAGTGAAACACAAGAATCATACTAATCCCATATGGCCTCAAAACTTTGAGTATAAATAAAACTCCTTTTATTTATCACCATATCGATTACTCATTATTTGTCGTTTCGGGTACTCAACTTCTTACTTGAATTATTACACTTGTCTCATGCTCCCAACATGCACACAATGTTTACTTATGGTTCTTACTTTATGAAATAGATCAAATTGTACACATTTCCAGTCATTCTCATTTCACAACTCCAAATCCTTTTTCATAAGTGAAAGAATATCAAATTCTTGCTACTTATAGAATATGCTAGATTCTAACATTCTATGCAATTATTCTTTCGTAATATCACTAACCAAAGTCACAAAGACTATTGCCAATGAAATTACAAAGTCTTTTATCGGAGATTGTTACAAGACAATTCCTTAGATATGATGTCTCTCACTCAAAGTACATTCCTTTGAACATCCTTTTGCATAAAAGTTTCTAATCTAGACATAGATTTTCAATATTCAATTCCCAATATGGACACATTTACATATTTTCCATATGACAACTCATTCTTAATAGAATCTTTTCTATTCATAATAATGTCGATATGGTCCATTCAATACCATTCTTCCAACTACTCATAAGCAACCAATCCTCGTCGAACTTTGGATTGTCCTTTGATAGTTGTTTAATTATTTTAGTCAAAACCGATTCTAGTCCTTTTTCCCTATAAATGCGCTAGACATTTGGAAAATTTTAGAATGGTCAAATATTAAAGCATTTGCAATTGACCCTATACCCGAAGCGTATAGGACACGATGCATAAAGTTTTATTTGCTATGTTCTTGAAATTCGAATTTTGAAGAGGAATGCCGTAATCATAATCGAAATTTTAAGAACACACTATGTACCTTTTGTTGGATTAATGTCTAAGCCCATAACTATAATTGGTAAGACTTGACCCGACCCAGCATGGTCCATTTGGGTTACATGGCATCATGCACTTGGATAGACTATAATGAGAGAAATAAGACACTTATGGTTATTAATATATTATAAGTGCTAGTATATTAATAATAAGAATAATAAGATTATTTAATTAGTATTGATCAAGAGTTAATCTAGGATTAATTAAGTGATCAAAAGAAGACTAATTAAATATATGGGTTGATTGTACAAATCATCCATACTTATATAGTGGGCTAATGCTCCATGGATTATCTAGTTGGGCCAAAACCCATATGATGCTCCATGGATGCTCCATGGTGTATTTGAACCCATGGATCCAAGGAAATGGAAAGTCATGACAATTAGGGTTTGCCCTAATTGTAACACTATATAAAGATATTATTCTTGACAAAATCGGCACTAGTATTATTCTAGAGAGGGCTAGCCGATTTCATGAAGTGTAGAATTCTCTCAAGTTATTCCAAGTGTATTTGGTGTTGTGTGAACCATTTGAGGTGTCACACTTGGGGCACTAGGCACTCAAGCTTCATGAAGACATTCTACATCAAAGAGGTATGTATTCTATCTTGTTATATTGATAGTTTTGTATGCTAGATTAGGATAATACCTTGGATGTTCATATTTGCATGTATAATAGAGAAAACATAGATCCAAGGTATTTAGGGTTGCATGTACACTTAGGAGTGTTAGAATGCTCATAACCAACAGTGGTATCAGAGCCTAGGCTTGTTTTCTTGTTATACCTGCAATAGAAGCTGAAAAAACGAATTTGTTGCTGTCTGATCATCAGACTCGGCGAGTCCATAAGGGACTGGCGAGTCCATGCCTAAAAGTGATCAAATCGATCCAACTCCGAGTTGGTTCATGCACTCGACGAGTTGGACCCCAGACAGCATATTTTCGAGGTTTTTGGCTAGAAATGGACTAGGAACATTACCCTAAGTTGTTTTTGAACTTATAAACTTGTTTTTTGATGTGGTAATGTTCATGCTAATCCATTTTCAAAGATAATTGTCAATAGATTCATGTTTTGTATTGGTTTAAAGGTTTAGACTAATTACATGAAAAAGTTTGATTTGAATTATCTTGTTCTTATGAGTTGCTTAGATTAATAGAAAAGTTAATTGAAATAGTTGTTTTCAATCCATTTTAATCTAAGAGTTGAGTATAAAATGTGTTTGTGTAACTTGTCCTCAAGTTACATGAAGAGTCACATTAAAGACTCATAAAACTCATAAAAGTTGGTAATGGTTACAAAATGAAGAGTCTTGTGTCATTGAATATTTTTTATGACTCCATAACTTGTCCTCAAGTTATGGAAGTTCAAGAGTCACTTCATTAAAAAAAAGTGTAACCTTAATTAATTCCATAAGTTATAAAATAAAGAAAAGTTAATTCTTTTATTAGTTTAAAGTCTTCCATAAGTTATGGAACTTGAAGAGTTTTTGGATTAAAACTACTTTAAACACATAAGTTATGGAATTAATTAGTTTTGAATAGTTTCAAAACTTGCCCTCAAGTTTTGGAATTTGAAAAGTTTTCTCTTATGAATACTTTAATTCCAAGTTAGCCCTTAGAATTTTAAAAGTTAAAATTCAACCCTTATACTTTATAATATTATAAGTTAATATATATATATATATATATATATATATATATATATATATATATATATATATGTATAAGAGTAAAGTCAGTCTTACCGCTAGTACGCCTCATTCACGAAGCCGGTCTATAAGGTGGGTATAAGGTTGTTGCCTATAAAATGGCAACTTAATGGGTGTCCACTCTCACCCACCGCTTGCTTGACTGGTGGAGGGTCGTTAGCCGAACGGGTTTGACAGGACTATAATTCTCCCTTCATTAAAAGTATTAATGATAAATACTAAGTAACTAAACTCTTAATAATTCCCAATCTTAGTTACTTAGGAAAATGTGAATAAGGTGCTAATCCATGAAATTACACTTTCACTTTGTTAAGTCGTTAGTGGAGCGTGTGTGGTTAACCGGCACACTAACTTGGATTAACAAGGTAGGTAAAGGGTGACTTAATTTATCATAGTATCGATGGAGCGTGTGTGGTTAACCGGCACATCGATTGAGGGGTAATTAAGGGTACCAAGTAATTTGCATGGTTACTTCACACCTTGTTTTGTGATCCTCGGCATCCCAGTCACAAAACCTGAAGGGCACACTCGAGATTGAAACATGCCATTGAACAGTTCAATGAATCTCAAAAGATCTAGGAGTTTCAAAACCAATTAAAACCTAATAATACATTTCGTTTATCTTGGTGGAAATTGGTGAATCGTCATTCACCTACCTTCAAATTTTA